GTGGCGCGGAGGGGGGGGGCGGGAACGCCGCTCCCGGCGAGGGCGACAGCGGGCGGGGAGCACCGGGGAAGGGGAGGAGGAGGGGGCGAAGAGACAACCTCGCGCGACTCAAGTCGGCGCCGGGGCGAATAAATAAATATCGTGTGCATGCCCTTGCGGGGTAGCTGATTGCTCGCTTTCCTTGACACGCCACACCGGGTCGATTCCCGGTCGGGCAAGAGTGTAGTGTGCGTTTTCCTCGCAATGTCCCAGTATACGTTTGCTTGTGACGAAGAGAAAACTCACTTCTGAGGTTGAGAAGACCAGATACGGCGAAGAGATGTCTTCATGCCCCGAACCCTCAATCCATGGCCGCGAGGCCGGGATGCTACTGGTAGGCCATGGCCCGAACGCGGACTGTTCGTACAGACACTCAAATTGTGTACATAGTGAAGTGTTGTGTTGTGTGCGTGAGTGTGTGAATGCATTTGTAAATTTAGTTCAAGAATGACTGAGTGTGAATGAAACTAATCGAAAATAGAAGACGCAATCAACTTTTAATCAAAAACAAAAAAATGAACTAAGGTAAATTACAGCAAGCCCAAAGAGGTTACTATAATTAGTTAATAGGTTAATATATAAGTTTGTTTAAGACTTAGCCCTCCATTCTCTTTAAAAGCGCAATCGGCTGAAGTTCATTATGAATACTCACAATGGATAAACTCCCGCCTCTCCAGAGCTAGTGAAGGGAGGAAATTGAAAAAGAAAGAGAATGTCAGAGGAAAAGTTGCAAGAGTTAGAGGGCAAAGAAGAAGATAGAGAAAGAGAGGGAGAAAAAGAAAAACGAGAGGAAAACTCGAGTGCGCCTCAAAAATACCGTAGAGTTAGAAGTAGCAGTTAGAAGAGATGCTCAAATTTGGAAAGATATGAAGGTACGAGTAAAATAAAATACTAAGATTTAAAGAAAAAGTACTTATTTCTTTAGACAATTGTGACGAAAGAAGCACCTCAAAAATTTAACATAAGTAACAAAATAAACTGTTAATGGGGGATAATACGAAAACCAATACAGTGAGAGTTAGAATATTTGAATTAGAAAGGAATGATTAAATATATGGAAGAGAGAACGAGAAAGGTTCTTGAAAAAACTGAAGGATATAAGCAGGAGACGAAAAATAAAAACGGTGAGAAAACAAATAAAACGGTAATGATGCAGCAAGTGTAAGAAAAAGGAGGGGAAATGGAATTTCCGGAAAGGGTTGGTCATGGGATGAGCTTCATCGTTAATTGCTTGGGCCCTCTCCAACGACGAATAGGAATGCGCGGGCAATTTCAGTTGCTCTTGCAGTCGGCGCTCAAATTGCGTAAAACGCTGGGTGCGCGCGTTCATTCCAGCGCCCAAGTGCGACGCACACTGGAGCAAGGCCTCAAAAAGCTGGCCAAAAGCCGAAAAAGGGAATTTTAACTAAGCAGTTAAGTAGACTATTTCTCAGAGTGTCTAATTCCACGGCTAGAAAAAAATCGAGGCATAACAGTAACGTTCTGCATCATTGCAAATGTGGCTGTTGAGCTGTTTACAGCTTCGAGCAATTTTCATCATTCAAAATGGACGAAACTCGTGATGGTGAGTACAACATACACATGTTTTACAAATAATTTAAACAATGTTAAAATTACTTAATTAATAATTAATATGTAAACAAATTTATACAATTAATTTGCTGTTTTTTTAATGGAAACCAGTTATACCAGTTCACGGAGTTACACAACAACATTTATAAAAACTTCAGACTCTACTATTTAAGTAATAAAATGTCAAAAGAAGTTGATATTCTGCATTTCGTACAGAAACACTTTTAGAAATTTTTCAATTTTAAATTCCGGATTTTTTGTTATTTCCATGGATCCGTCAGTTTTTGCTTGCATTTTTGACATTGGAATTGTAATCAGCGTGTCAAAAATCAGGGTACATATACAAAATTTCACTAAATTTGGATTACGTTTTCGTATTTTGGCCAGCTTTTTGAGACCTTGTCCCAATGTGCGACGGGAAGAAAAGGAAGTTCCAGATGGAGGAGAAACGCAGTGAGCTGTGATTCGTTTCATTCATTGCCGGGGAGGGGAAGCTGTTGGTTACACAATGCGGAGAAGAAGAAGCTAGCTGATTATTCTGGCCCTCGAAAGTATTATTCTTAATATATGCAAGACTAGAACTTCCGGGGGCAAAATCGTGCAGCGATTAAAAGGTGTGGCGTCCCCTGGCGCCGAAGAAATGGGCCTCGACTAATTACGCTGATGCCTTCGCAGAGAGGCGCGCATTAGTATAAGCATTGCTGTCTTAGAGCTACACCGTTTGAGAGCAGTCGTCTTGTAGTTTTAATTCTTATTCATCCCAGTTGTCTAATTTAAGCGTTTTAATTATAACGTTTTCAATACGAACAATTTTTATTACACATTTATGTATTTATAGACTGCAAAGTTTAAAAGAATACTTTACAAAGAAAGGGAGTGAATGCTTCTTCATAATTGATCACAAATAACGAAATATTGAAAGACAAGAATTAAAGATTGATTCGCTATCATAAAACTTCTTTTACATAGTTCAATAATCAAAATAAAAACAATTAAATTTGCATATGTTCCCTTCATTTATAAAAATTAAAATTAAATTTCAGGTTATAATGAAATACCTCGCCCCCTTTCATAAGGAAAGGAATAAATGGTGCAATAGTTGTTCAAATATTAATCTGATTTTCATTTATTCTAACGGAGAAAACAGACGCAGATTTTATCAGAGGCCAACTTGTGTGGTTTGAATTGAAGCGACGGCGGAGTCGTGGTCGGAGGACCTGCGTTGCGCCGGTGACGTCACACGCCGGTGGGCCACAGCACGTGTCGCCCGCTCCCCAAAGGAACCCAGCTCATCTCCAGTCTCGTGGCGCTGCGCGTCCCAGTGGCTCCTCCCCAGGAGGAGTGGAGGGGGGAAAGGAGCGGGTCTTGCAGAACTCCCTGACGCTGCCGAGCGGGGAATGAATATCGGATGAATGTGACTTGCTAGGTACCGTAGATTGCGGACGAATTGAAACTGTGGACTGTTTGGATTCGCAAATGTTCCTATTACCCGAAAGAAAAAAAAACGTATGTAATTATACAAATGCATCTTTAGGATTACCAGACACAATGCAACGTAGCGTGCGATGTGAGAAAATGGCGACGGATCGTAGCGACATGAGGAAGTGGCAATGTTACGAACAATGGAGTACAGTTCGCACATATCCAATCGCAAGGTAGAAGGGTTGTAATGGTAAGCAAAGTAGAGGTTGCTTCATTGTTTAGAAGAGGTGAGGCACAGTTTGTGTCGCTGCTGTCCACTAGCATTCTAAGTACAATATTCAGAATAAATTGAGTTGATTTACCCTGTGTTCTTTCTTTTTTTAAATACTTTCGTTACCCTTTAAATACGCATTTTATTTATTTTGTTTAGTTTTCCTCCATCCCGAACTTTGTTAGGATTATCCGAAAATTCGGATTTGCGGGGTTCGAATTAGCGGGGTTCTACTGTATATTAAGGTGTCATTTTGGGTGTAAAGAGCACACAGGCTGCACAAAGATATCTTATGTTTCTTAAGTTATTTTTTCTTGAGAAACGCTTCATTACTGAAAAGCAGATTGTAGTTCAATGTTTCATATTTTTTAGAAGATTCCATTAATTGTGACTCGACTCGGTCAACATAATGTTAAGCATGAGTGGAGAAAAATCTTTGTTCTATTATTTCCTGGAAACCATGGAAAACGAAATTTTGTGAACTGTAGGAATTGAGATATGAAAAACGTATCAAGTGGATGCCTTATATCATGCTGGAGGGGATGTAGTGCGGTGTAAGATTCGGAAATAGACTGAAGCTAATCAAGTCGTTTTGAGAAAGAAAATTCTCGGGGAAAATGGCGAGCGGAGAAGAACATTCGATCTTTTGAGAAGTGGCATGGCTGCACCGCGTTAGGAAGAGCCCGAGTGATTAGAAATCTGACATTTGAGGAGAGGCTGAGGTCGTGCTTCAGCGCAGGCAATGCTTTGCGGAGAAAGACCTGCCAGGAGTGCTGAGGGCTGGAAGATGCCGTAAGGGACGTTCGGGGCTGTCGAGGGAGCTTGCGAGGGCAAAGAAGAATAAAGGTTGGAAGGTGGGCGTGATCAGTAAGGATTGGGAGGTCGAGTGCGGTGGGGATCGAGTAAGCGTGAGTATAGGATAGGCCTGGGTGTTGGGTGGGTGTGGGGATCGGGGAGGCAAAGAGAGAAGGTATGTTGAGTTCTGGTGTTTGAATCTGGTAGGCGTGGGTATTGGGTAGCATTGAGTGCGCAGTGTGGGGAGTGGGTGGCTTGGAGTGAGGGCCTTACGTGCGAAAGTGAGGCGACGGGTAGTGGGTTGGTTGGTTGTTAGTGATTCCGGGAACGTTAACTGGTCAGGTCACTATTCCCGTAAGTGTAGAGCATGTTTTCTCCTCGTGAGGTGGCGAGATCCGGCACCGACCTACCGTCGACTAGCGCTGGGAAGCGGGGGGGCCGGGATGGGTAAGGGGCGAGGGAGCGGATACGTGATACGAGG